TATATATATATATCAGTATGTGTTGCTCTGTTCCTCACCCATGTGTTACGGGATTAATTTAGAGAAAGAAATAAAACATTATTATATAGCATATAAAATATTTCAGGTTTGGGGTATATTATTTATTATAATATTATATTTTACATTAATAAATAATAATCGTATACCCGAGGTCCTGCTTCGTTTTCGTCGTGCGAGTAATGAGTATCTCTAATTCTCCCGTCCGGCGGCAAATATAATATAATAATAGTACATAATATGTACACTAAGCTCATTACAGTCCTATTGTTCGCGTCCGACTTGCTCTCCCCACCTGCGCGCCACTCAAATATTCCATGTGTGTTTTATATAATAATATATTGTACGTGCACTGTAAGCATTGATCGAATAGACCAGCACAAGAACTAGTTCTTACCCTAATCTGCGTAGCGATTCCTCGGGGCGGGAAAGAATGGAAACGGCAAAAAAAAAATTAAAAACAAAACAAAAGCGTATACACGCCGCTGCCGCTTTTTTTTGATTATGTGTTTCGCCGCATCCTGCTGGTTGTAACGGCCGATATGTAATACCTGCAGATTCCAATTATTWAATATTTTTAATTAAAAAACCGCCACTCTATGTATGTATTATACATAATATAGTAAAAATTTGTAAATTATGTTAATGTCTTTAAGTGGATTTTAATTGACATTTTTCTTTACTTCCCGCTTTCGCAGGTATCCTGGACACAAAAACTGGTAGCATGGAAACGTTAATTGATTCAGCCAGTTCGAACTGTTCGAAGACCATCAATTACGCTTATACCTCCTCGGTAATTGCCGACGATGAATTCATTAACGCCGCTGCTCCCCCACACCAGCGTCCAATGTTGCCGCCGCCACCACCTACTTCACAAGTTTCGCCGTCTCCGCCACAGCTACCAAACGACGTGAGTATTTCATCTACATGTATTAAATATTGTAATGCTTTGAGTAATTAAAGTTTTTAAACCTTAACTGACTGATTACTTCCTAAAACAGGTATACGACTGCTGCGTGTCGCTGGACGGTATACCTATCAAACATGAGTTTCAGTACACCTTCTCCGACACCGACGGTCAAGGAAAAATCACCAAACACGTAAGTCTACCTACATTTATTATTATATGTTGTTATATGTACACAACGTTATCACATGTTTTTAAGGGATTGGCCTGTAGGTCTTCCGGGTTTGACCCAACCCCAAAACTATTTTTATTGTTATTCCACTTATCCCGTGTTCCATTTTTTTTGTTGGTCTTAAAGTTAAAAACCTCCCTAAAAATCACACCGGATATGACCATAAATATTGTTTATATACTTACAGCATTTATAATATATACCCAAACGAAAAATAAGATATAAATTATCTAGCACGCGGTAGGTAGTTACGTTTTTATGTACCCACAAAATAATAAACACATTATACAGTATATAATCTACTGCCCTGACTTAAAAGATTTTAAATGGAACGCATTTAAAAATAACAAATCGTTTCTTCTGATGTTTGGCAACGCAATCAAAGTAGTTCACTCAAACCGTCTGTGAAACTTCTCATATAGGCGCGACAACAACGGAATCTCTTTGTTTTTGCTCGTCCGCCTTTGATGTTCCAATTAAGACACATTTCACTGTTTTACAGACACATTGTCAGTTAATAGTAATATATATTAAATATAATATGTAATTCCTCGAAATCCCATTGGAGACGTCTGAACCTCCGCTCTTGGCAAACCGTCAATTCCATTATTATTATTTTTATTGGATTTCTTTAATTTTTTTATTTTGTGTTTGTCTGTGTATCACTATCATGTATCATATATTTAATAAACATTTTTATGCGTATTATCGTAGGATGTCGAAGGACTAGCTACGAAAATACTCGAGTCCATGTACGGTACGACGTTGAAATTCTCTTCACGGGGCCAACGAACCGTCAAAGTGACGCTAAACATCAGACAATCGGTGGCGGTGGTCGTGGATGGCTCAACGACGAGTACGTCGTACCGTGGACACCAAAAGAGCCGCGAGCGCAAGACCAAGTCGGATAGACATCGGGACAGGACAGACGCTACCGAATACGGGGTTGTCGAAGATTCAATACTGTTGGAGCAGCCTGTCGATTCTTCGGTGTACGATGGTGTCAAGAGATCCTGGTTGCCGCACCACAGAAGTGCCAAGCTGGGCGCACAGCGGTACAGGCGCGAACAACTGATCGAAATGGTACAAAGGAGCCTGGCGGAAAACTTGAGTTTTCAAAATCAAAGGTATGCAACGTCATATGATCGTTTATTATATGAGTCGACCAATTGGAAAATGTATAAACATATTATTAGGGGTGTAATAAAGTTGGAAAACCAAATACATAAAATACAAAAGTAAATAATAATATAGTTGAAACAAGCATCGATTTGTAGTTATTATTTAGATACTTACCTCATACTTATACTAGAAATTAAATAGACAATATTTCAAAGTTTAAAAACGTACAACAACAGTTTTAAAAGGATGACCATTTATTGTTTAAATAACTATGACGAAATATCGATTTTGTGAAAATTGATGTGTCTTTTACAGCTGGTTGACTCGTATATTATAGTTTTATAATACAAATTCATACGTTAAAAATTKTATTATGATTAAAATAAAATCACAAATAAATATAACAACTATATTATTATATGTATTACCAAATGTTGATTGCCGTTTACTGTGAAGAGTTATAAGCCGTATCGTTATAGACTTTCAGCAATTAAGATCGCGTGCTCGTTTTTCATCGTATGAATTTTATTACGTCATTGTTGATCTGACTGAACAATATATTTCACGACTAGTGGCGGCACACATTTTTTGATATACGTAATCGCGTGATATACATATTATTATTGTAAATAAATCAAAACTAAGCAAACGGACCAGGAGAGATTACGCGTGCAAACCCCCGCGGCAGCGGCGCTAGTAAATAAAATAAAATCATAACGTCGTCGTTGTTCGTTTATAATAATTTATAATATATGTACGCCGCACGTTCAATAATAATATACTTTATGTCTGTATACAGTTATAATATGCGAGCGAGGCCGACCGGTATATATATATATATATACAGCACGCACGCTGTATACATAATAACCGTTCGTCGGGTCGCGAAAAAGGAATTCCGCTATATAGATCGCCTGACGATTATAATAATATTATAWACAAATCTTTAATAACGTATTGTAAACGTTTCACTGGTACACAAAATATGGGTGTATTCATGTGTGTGTGTAAATTGGACTTGGTCCAAATCCGACACTCTCCAAAGCGAACCGGCATGTGACGACGAAAGATGACGCCCGTGCGGCTTATCCACTCATGGAGTTTTGAGGGCGTAAATAAAATTATTATTAATAGTCAGTTTTAAAATTTTAAATGRTAAATTTCACTTCTTCCGGAACCGGAAGTTGAAAAATACCTATCTTTGTAAACGTTCTTGTATATTAAAGATACCGCAGATGAGCCCTGCAGCCGAGTAATATATCATTACTGTATATTATTATGCATATATTGCATACAAAACAATTACGTGCATCCGATAACCATATCATCATGATTTATAATATTAGATAATATCGCTACCTACACTATAGTAAAGTTGTAAGGACAACAGCGACATAGGTATAGATATTAAAATTCGAAAACGTATGCAAAATATAATTCGTTTCTCGAAATACTATTTTTATTATTATGATACCAATGTATGTTTTTTAAACTTAATATTTAAACAAAACTTRTTTTTCACATTTCACTCAAAATATATATAACATACATTATAGGTAATAGGTATCAAACTGTTTTAATCTTGACCACAATGATTATTATTAATTTTGTTATATCAATCACTATTCTACGCACTAGACGCATTTAAAAAACAGCATTAACTACACAATTTTAATCACAACGTCGTTAAACGTTATGCGCTATAGCTATATGAACGGATATAGATATAGGTATAATTTATTATATTGTATTAAACAATCGACTAGTAGAAATATGCAAATTGGTGCTTTAATAATATTGTTTATACACGCACAACGTGTGTTCAATATTAATATGAAAATATTTWAAAAAAAATTTATTTTTTATTTTTATAGAAAATCCGAAAAGCCCACGGAGGTCGTTTATCACAGACCACGGACGAAGCGTCGCCAGACCGCAGCTCCGCCGCCCAAGGTAGCGTGGAGCCCGTACGACTTTGAACCGGTAGCACACATACCTTCGCACCAACAACACCACCACAATCAGCAGCACCACCACCGACAGCACGAACACCTCAAGAACGTCAGAAGCCAGCAGCAGCAGCTGTACAGCAACTATGTAACGGCCGAGGAGCACGGGGTCAAGTATTCGTCTGGTCACTCGAAACAACACCACCGGGCCACCGCGGCGGTAGTCAGCGGTAGCAAACTGCAACAGTCGAAGGACGCGGCCACGGCCACCACTGCAGCAGCCGCCGCTCAAGAACAGGCTAAAAACATCGATCATCAGCGGTACAAACGCGCCAAACTGGCGTCAAAGAAGATCCATCATCACATACACGAACACCATCATTATCATCACTACGACTATTACATCGTTTGACGACTCGGACAAAGAGTGTGTGAAAGAGAGAGAGATAACAACTAAAATTCCTTTTCATCGTGTATATATYAATTGTCACAGCATTATCATATTATACTGTTAGGTACCTGTATACTTTTACATGTTTAGTTATATTACGTATTTGTGTTTTTACTAGCATGTTGATTGCGTTGCACTGGACCAACCGGTCGGCAAAATTGGCAAAAAAAGCTATTTTCCCCAAAACTAAAGATTCTTTTTTTCCCCTATCCAATTGAAAAAGTTTTTACAAACAATAAAACAAAAATTAAAACATTCTCGTTCGGTTGGACGCCTTGTTCGTAGGTGTATATATATATTATATATACAATATACATTATACATGCACAGCGCCAACTATAATTTATTATTATTATTATTATTATTATATTATTATTATTATTATTATTTTTATTATTATTATTATTATTTATTTTTTTTTAAACGCATTTGTTTTATATGCGCCTATATAAGGATTTCGATTGTGATATGTGTGTGCAGCAAAGTTTGATTTGCATGTGTATCATTAAAATATTTTTACACTGATTACTGCAAACGTTGATTTTTTTACTTTCTTTCTCCTCAACACAAAACAAACAAGCATCACGCGATCAAACTTTGAGCCACATGTACATAATTATCTGAAGTATTTGTGAATGTGTTTAACAGCCCAATAGTTCCTTTTTTGTATGTGTACTATTTTTATTGTATTTTTTTTTTTTTCATAAGATTTAAGTTGTAAAATGACATCGATTGTAAAAACGTCAAATTAATGTAATGTGAACAAAGACTAAACATTTCTTTTATATTATATCGTACAATAC